AAAAGGCGTGGTGAAGCCATTCCCGGAGGTGCTACTGGCTGTGGCGGTTGAATCTTGACACATGTTGACGCAGATTTACGCTGGGGATGGACTGAAGTGGTGCTTCTATGTGACAAGCCAGTTTCACCGGCACGATGGCGAACACCCGGCAGTACGTATCTGTCCAGAGGGTCAAATAACCTTGAACCGTTCCTTTTCCTCTGCATCACGCGATATCACTGGCACTGTGCATGTACAACGGCCGACCGGCACCACTGAGGGCCGTGTGCAGTCGTAGGCCCTCTATAAGGCGGGAATGCGCCGCAGCGATTCACCCGCCCTACAGAGGGCACCCGCCTTATTCAATGCGTAGAAAACAACTTGATCATCCCGTTTGTGCCGGCCACTTTTTCCAGCCTTATATAACCCGCCTTATAGAGGGCCTACGACTGTACGGTCTAAACTGCATTCCTTCACATCTCTTGTTGGTGATTCCAAACGTGTTCGGTTTCGAATCATGTCGCTTTGGCAGGTCGAGGAGGTGGTCAAGCGGTTCCCTGACGTGCTGTCGCCAGTGCTGGTCAAGGCGGCTCAGGGAGCGGCCGCAAGCGACTTCCTCAGGACAGAGGCCTTTAGTCTACTGGCAGGGGTTCTCCAGAGGTGAACAGACACTCATGCGTGTTGTATGCGATGTGGCCACAGAAATCAGCGCTGTGCTGCTGTAGAGGGACCATTGAGCGCTCTGGTCTTGGCTGCGTCGTACGGTACTTTTTCGGTGATTCGTGGAAACTTTTCAATTTTTTTGTCGGCGCGTACCCTTGTGAGGAGGAGGTAAACATGACGTGTATACATAGTAGAAGAACTGCTGTCCGTTTCTTGGCGCGTGTGGCGCGAAATACACTCCAGGAAGTGCTTCCCTCACCCCGTGATGAACGGTTCTTGGCCTACATAGATGTATCTCGTGTCAAGTTTGTACGAGACAACCAAACACCTCGTTTCCTGTGTTTCTCCCGCCCGTGTATGCCCCCCCCCCCCTCTGTGCCCGAAGACGGGGATCGATGAACCCAGCTTCTCGCGAAACCCTGCTGGCCCAGTGTCCCGCGATCTTCAAGGCATTGAGTGACGTCATGTCCATCGCCGCCAAGGAAGCGGCCTTGTCCGCCTCCACGAAAGCAACAGGGGATGCGGCCGAAACCGGCGACAAGAAACCGGCAAAAGCAAACGCGGCATCCTCCTCCGCCATGCTCAAGGCGAAACGCCTGAAGCCTATCTTGGGTTGCCTCTCGGCTGCCGTCAGCGCCGACGAGGGTGTCGGGGCTCTCTCCGCCCTGGCCTCCGAGGCGAGGTCGTTAAAGGCATCGCTCGCCGCGGTAGGGGAGGCCAGCGCTAGCCTGGCGATGCAGCTGCAGTGCGGACAGGTGGCGCAAGCGCTGGACGCGATAGCTGCAGCAGGAGGAAAGGAGGAAAACGGAGCGGCAGAAACGGTCTCCGAAGAGGGCGGCAGCAAGAAGAAGAGGAAGATGGACAAGTCGTCGCCGAAGCGCAAGGCGGCCGCCGAGGTTGACGTTACCCCCGACACCGAAGTTGACAGTCCCGTGAAGGCGGCGGCGGCGGCGACCGACGATGACGAGAGCAAGCTCAAGAGCAGCAGCAGCAAGAAGAAGAAGAAGAAGCGGAGGGAGAGCAAGGAAGGCTGAAGGCGGAGACCGCGCAATCGGTCCGACGTTGTGGTGTTACCGTAGCCGTGGCGCGTACGAGCCAACTGCTGTCGTTGCTCATACCTTGTCTGGGTTTCTGTTTTTGCTTATCTGTCGGTCGAGGTCTACTGTACCCTGTTGTTGGCGTGTCGCCGCGTCGGGAGGGGCAGTTCAACAAGTGCTCCATCTGTCGTGGTATGCATCCTGCGGCACTGCTGTGTATGGCTATGAGAGGTCGTGGCGAGGCTTGGCGAAGCAGCAGAGGCGAGAGAGAGAGAGAGAGAGAGAGAGAGAGAGAGAGAGAGAGAGAGAGCATTTTATATGGTGTTGCTGCTGTGGCGTAGTTGACAATAGAGGCGCGTCCTCGCGAACCAGGCCCGAACTCGTAAGTAGCGCGTGCGAGCAACTTGTTCCTTTGTGGTCTAACGAACCGGGATTTTTTTGCTTCTCACAACAAAGTCATGCCAAACAACGTGGAAAGTGATCATTTCGTGTGTAGGGTACGCAACCAAATATATATTTAACTTGGTGATCGACGACGGAAATGAACGGCTGAACCCTTGTCGCGATAAAAATCAAGGAGAATACCGCAGAGACAACCCCGGCTGGACGTCCAGAATTGTACCGAAAAGTGTACTACAGTAGTCTCAAGGATAAGGGCGAAAGGTGTACACCAGTCTAAGGACCGAAAGGTGTAGACTAGGCTAAGGACAGGGGCCGACGTCCGAAACAAATGGGATGGCAAAAATGGCAACCCCTCTCGTCACAAATCGAAGGAAAACAGCTCAGGAGGGGTGGGCATGGGGCCTCACGGAGAGGAAGGAACCCTTCCGTGTATGGGCGCTGATTTGAAGTCATGGCAAAAAATTATAGCATCGCCATTCAAGATCTAGGTATCCCCCGCACCCCTTGGGCGAACTTGAGTGCACTTGCGGCGTTGCATCGTACTTCTATCGTTCAAGATATAGATATCCCCCGAAGCCCGGAGGCCCGTCTTCACAGACCCTTTACCTCGTCATTTTGACAAAAAACCGACAGGAGGAGAATCGCTGATTGCGCGAAATCAATCCTGACGAAAAAATTAGGTCTTTTACAGCAGTAGTAGTCAAGCATGCCTTAGTGGACTGCATGCAGTAGTCTATGGTGAAGGAGTGTCTGCGAATACACACCAGCAGCAACACGGCAGGCCCAACGCGCCTACGGCTGGCTGGAACAACAGCAAAACGGCCGCCTCACGTCCCTTCCGTTTTGTATCTATCTACGTATCTACTGTACGTAGACGGGAGACCAATGAGAAACGAGCGCGGAGACAAACATCCATCCACTTGGAAATGAACCGTACCTCATTTTCGCACCATAGCAAGACGACGTGGCACCGTATTAAATCTACAACTAAACCTCTGATCCAATGGATGATGCGGATAGATCATCTGCATGAGTCACGGCGCAGAAAATCTAAGGGAGCCCCGACTTGTGCGTGCCAGCGTGATTGCGCGTGCACGTACGAAGGGGGCGGGGGAAGGGGAGGGATCCTGAACGTCTTTACTTCATTGACGGTACCATACTACTCTTGTGAACGATCCCAAAATATGCAAATTCCTCGCCGATTCGCGAAGAAGATGATCATGGGGTGTGAACATGTAAAACATCGCACTCACACAGACCAAGCAAGAACTGGTATGCATAATAAACCATCGATCAAAGCGGCTCGAAGACGTGAACTCGTTCCCCCTCTCCACCATGTACTTACCAGGAACAAGTTGAGTGTCACAAGAAGCACGTCCGTCCGTCCGTCCGTCCGTCCCTCCCGCAATCCTTCTTCATACAACCACTCCCGCTCCCGGCGCCGCGTCCTACAGCGAAAGAGTACTCTCCATATGCAGGCAACATGTGTGCCGGTTGCACATATTTCCCGCAATCGGAGAGCTTTCACGGACTACTGCTGTAAGCTTCTCCACTCTCTTCACTACTACTCCCGGGTGGGCAATCTGACCCAAGACGAAACTTTCATTCTTCATCTCTTGCCGGTTTTGGAAGCAAGCGTAGTAAAAACATAGCTGCCGGTTAGCCCGCTGCAAATCGATCGACGATGCTGCGTCGGTGCTCCTAGGCTACAGGCGTCGATCGCACACGGCGACCTAGTGTCCGTCGCCCGCGTAAGAAAGTCAATACAGTAAGGAAGTAAGTAAATGGCGTCTTTACCCGCCGACCAATCAAAGGGTTGTCGCCAATCGATCTCGATCATGACTTCTTCGCAAACGACCGAGGAAACACCCAACAATGCCACATGAGACACGTGTGAGACCCCTCGGGAAAGTGTTACGCAAAAAAACATCCGTAAGTTATCACGCAGAGTAGCGGTTGAGACTTGTCTCCAACAGCGCCAACATGTAGTCTACCTCCACACACCTGCCTTCCACCAGTCTAAAAAAAGACAAAGCAGACGATACGACGGGTGCCCAAAATAACAAGGCCTGTGGAGTCCCAACATGAACATCTATAACCAGTAGAGGACATCATGGAGCAGAGAGACTTGCGCGTTGGTACGCCCGGGTCTGTTACTGGGGCCGTGCTGTCGAAGGCTGCGGCCGCGGTCCGGAAAACCCGTAAATCTGCTTCCATACCATTCACGACCTACTGCAGTACGCGCCGCAACAGACCAATCAATCCCCCGGTAGTCTAGGTCTAACTAGACTAGACAAGCAGCTCGGGAATGGTGGACTGCAAAAGAAAAGGGCCCAGGTTTGCTGACTCTTCGGACCGCAACTTCCGCCTTCCACAGCACGCCCCCAGCAGCAGATCTGGACGTGCCAACGCGCGTGTCGCCGTCGCGCCAACATGCCCTCTACTGGAAGACTATAGATGTTCAATACTGGGACTCCGCAAGCCGGAAGTTCGTCATCCATTATGTCCTACTAATATCTTGGATTTAGACTAGAAATATATTTTACCGTGGTTGGCAAGACCCCCGTAATTTTTGTCCACCCATGTACCAGCGCAACAGAACGAGGTGCCGTAACGCCAATACACATTTGGCACGAGCGAGAAAAAGCCATCGAACACTGTATAGCCCCCAGAGTCTTAGCTCCAACTGGGAGCGGGAGGATGACCCATCCGCCCGGCCACGCTCTACTCTCAAAAGAAGAGGCAACAAGCAAGAACACACAAACAGAAAAAAACAAAAAACAAAAAGAAGAGCGTAGGAAGCCACGAGGACAAGTCCAGCGTCCGGCGGAATTCACCCAACCTTGACCTCACCACGACACGCTCCCTCAAGGACAACTGGCCTTCATGATGGTACTGTTACCTATGATCGCCCAATAGTTATAGTTCACACGCGCACATATACACCTGCAACGAGAGAAGAGAAGAGATACCGCGAACCGGTGAAACAGCACACAAGAGCGCCAAGACCAGAACTAAAAAGGTTGAAACGACGGTGATTGTAACATCGAAGGCATTCCCCTGAAACGAAATGGCGGTATACACTTGTGCTGCGGCAGACCCCCACCTCCACCCGCAACACACGACCAAACGACACGTTTCGTACCCCCCCCGCACAGCAAAGCACATCCACAGCAGAAAAATCGAGCAAAAATCGAAAGGAAAACACGTCCAACGGTTTCTTCCAAGTGATCCCGTACAGGAGGAGAATCTGCTTGCAGCAGCTCCCCGCTCCACCCGTGGGGCAACATCTCGCACACCCTACCCCGGCCCTAGGCACCGCTGTAACCGAACGACCATCGATAAACCACAGGCCGCTTTCTCGGCAAAACATGAGCTCGCTGGTGACACGCGTCTACTACACAACCACGTCTCGTTTTTCACGAACACCGTAACGGTTGAAAAACGGCCGTCGAAAGTTCTTCAATGCTTCAAGAAAACGTACTCTATCTGGCTCCTTCCGTCCCCTTCTTGGAAAAATATTCACGCCAGTTAGCCCAGCACCTTTCGGCCTCAATCAAAAACGTGTCCGGGCATGCATGCGGGCGTTGACGTTGTGGCGACGCACCTGCCGTCATCAGCGCACCCCGCATACTACTGGCGAAGAAACAAAACCGTCACGACATCATCACACCGCCTGTTTACCAAACAGGAATTACTCCCAGAAACAAGGCAAAAGTCTTACATGAAAGTACGTCCACCGCTGTTCCGGGTCACCATCCGCTCTTGGATTACTACTGCCGTACCGTTCACCACACACCGCAAAAAACTGTTTCAACACGAGCGATTCCGGGAAATCAGACCCAACCCCTTTCCGACAAACACGATACCACACACACAACTCGACCGCAGGGGTTCCCTCACAAATTTCGGGGCTCGTCTCATCCCTTCCCCGCGCCAAAGCATGACACAGGAACTAACCCTCATCATCACACCCTAACAATACGCCACGAAACATTATCTCCACCACCGCTGCCGCCTGTCCTCTACGGGCCGGAGCCGAGCGGCTGCACCTTGGACATGTCCTTGGAAAGCAGGTACTGCCTGACCTTGACGGCGGCCCCCTCCCTGGCGGCCTTGATGGAGCTGCCCTTGGCCTCCTTGACGAGGATGAGGCCGGCGAGCTCTTCAAGGCGGGAGGTAACGATGCACCGAGCCTCAAAGAAACAGGTGTTGACGCCAGACCCTTTCAACTTCCTCTCGTCGTACTCGAACACGGGCTTGATCGTCTGCGCCAGCTGGGCGGCGGAGTTGAGCGTGCACCTGCAGGAGGAGGGGGGGGGGGGGGGGGGGGGGGGTACTCATAGTCGTGCATTCCGTAGTCATTAAACCATTGGAGGAGGAGGGGGAGGGGGTGAGGTGTAACTTCCGACAGGTCTGAACAATGGCGAGCCTTTCCCGTGAGAACGAATCGTTTCGAGTTCTCTCTCTCTCCCGCCTGTGTATCTATCTACTTTCCGTGGGTAAAATAGAATTGACAGTATTTTCAATTCATGTTCTCCGCAGACGCATGTGGCAGATGCGCGGAGCTCCAGATACAGCCCAACATCGACAAGCTGGTGTCCAAAAACCGGTGTGTGGGGGAGAACATGTACCAAGGAAGGCCTAGGAAATAGAAGGCCCAATGAATCCCGACCGGGACTAGGTCGATTTGAAGCGCGCCTGGCCCAACACACGACACAAAAAACAAAAAACATCGCGCCACCACCCTCGTCGAGTGTCAGCAAAAAAAAGAGACTGACCAAACCTCCCCAGCAGCGGGAGGACGCGTTCGAGAAGCAAACCAAGGGTGTGGGGGGTGGGCGGGGGGCTGGCTACGCCTGCTCAAACGATCAACGTACTCGATCCGCCGCCGCCGCCGCCGCCGCCGCACTAAAAAAAACGCTACAAATCTCACCTGGCCATCTGGTCCGGGTTCCTCTGTAGCGCCTGCCGCACGCAGGTCGCGAGGTACGTGGCCGCGTATCTCCTTGCCGCCGGGCTCAGAGTCACCGGCAGGCTGACCTTCCACGGGTTGTCGTCCGGCTGCGCCGTCGCCGCTTCTGGTGCGACTCCACCCCCCCTTCCCTCCTTCCCCTTCGCGGTGGGTGCGGTAACCTCGTCGGCAGGCGCAAGCTCTTTCCCGGGGGGGTGGGGGTCACTGGGAGCTACGGCCGTCGGCGACGGGGCCCCCGGGGATGTCTGGGCAGCTCTGGCCTGCGCACGGGTCACCGTTTGCGATGGCGATGCCGCGGAGCCCGAAGACGTTGGAACGTTGACCGGAGGGCACACACCGGGGACTCCGGTCCGCGGAGCCCCCGCCAACGATGCCGTCGCCGCCGCCGTCGCCGCAGCCGCCGCCCCATCGAGAACGATTCCGCTGCCCCCTCCGGAGAGGGTCGATGCGCTCGTCGCGATGGAGGACGTTTCTGAGAAAGACGTCTCCGCTGTCGCGTCGGAGTTCGGCGATATCGGGGAGCTCCTGTTGGTTCTATTAGTGCTGCCGCCGCCGCCGGTGCCTGCCCGTGCGGCGTGTCTCTTTGCCCTGTTGCTGGCTGCACTGGTTGACGGGGTTTGTGCGGTAGCCGCCTTGCTAATGCTGCTGCTGCTGCTGCTGCTGCTGCTGCTGCTTGAATCACGGTCTATGTCGCCACGGCCGGAAGTTGTTGAGCTGCTATCGCCGCCTTCAAACTTGCTTCCGGCCTTGGCACGGAAGACGTCACTGCCACTGCTACCGCCGCCGGAGAGGGATCGGATGGCCTCCAGCATGTTTTGCTCGCGCAAGCAGATGCTCTTGACGTGGGCCTTGTCGGCGGCTCCTGCGGTCCTTGTGAGACCGACGAACCTTAGCCAGCAAGCAGAGGCGGCGGCCGAAATAGGGAGCATCGGGAGTTGCAAAAATAGCACCAGGAAGAGCAGCAGCAGTGCCACGTCAGTAACCCATCCGTAGTAGCACCACGTGGTGTATTACATCATGTTGAGGCGACACACATGAATACAATATCTCGATAAAAAAGGACACCACCGCCTTAACTAGAGCTTGCGTTCATCTCTTACCACAACGTTACAGACAAGTATGATGACGGTTTGGCGCCATAAAAGCAAACGAACCACACTATTGTGAGGGGAAGGCCGGAGGTTTGCCCCTGCAACGGATTGTGCGTTTGTTCCCAACAACCGGGGCCTCGACTCCAACCCCTCTGGTCTGCTGCCGCTCGCTCACCTGCACTCATTCTCCTTGCTGCGAATGCGACCCCGCAGCTGAACAAGCTCCGTCCCGCTGCTGGGGAGGCTTGCGCACACCACCAGCGCGCAGGCCGGCACGTCGATCCCCTCCCCGCACACAGACGTCGACACCAGAACGTTCTTCAGACCGTTCTGGAACGAGGCGAGCGCGCGGCGCTGCTGGTTCAGGGTCATCTCCGACAGCCCGACGATGGACTGCGCCTTCACGAACGGCTTGGCCTCCTCCAGCATGGCCGGGGTAGCCAGCGCCAGCTCTCGCCTGGACACGAACACCAGCGCCGAAAATCTCTTGCCCGACGCGTCGCAAGCGCGCTTGTGCTCCTCCAACAGCCAGGCAATCTTCGCGAGCTTGGATCCGCCGGCCCTCCTGACCGCATCGCCCCCCGAGGCTGCTGCGCTCCCGCCGTCCGAGCCCGACACCGTCGCTACGGCCGAGAGGTTTTCCTTGAGCACGCCGATAGTCTCCTCGAGCTCCGGGTCGCTAAAATCGTTCCCCTCTCCGCTACTACTGCTGCTGCCGCTGGTCCACCCGTTGTCGAGCTCTTCCAGCGCTCTCTGCCAAATGGCCTCGCCGCCGATCTCGTCCACCGCGAACGACAAGTTCATCAGGCTGTGCAACTGGGAGGCCTCACCGCCCCCCCCCCCGCCGCCGCCGCCGCTGCCCTCGTCCATGACAGTACCGTCGGACTCCCACCAGCCCTCTCTCTGCTCCGCGCCGCCCGCAGACAGCGCGCGCTGGCACAGCGCCGTGAAGAACTTGTTCGGGAACACCCACGCGTCGTCCTTGCGCGGCACGTCGGCTCCGGCGGCGGTGCTAGCCGTGGCTGCGGCAGCGGCGCCCCTCATCCGACCGCCCAGGCTGTCGAGGAGGCTCTGCGCCTGAGCGTGTGCTTCGGAGGCCTCGGGGGCGAGCCCTACCAAGCGCGAGAGCACCAGCTTCTCGAGGCAGCCCAGCAGGGTCGTCTCCGAAGCGGTGGCGGTAACGTTCAGGAGCTCCAGGTCCACGGAGGGCGTGAGACTCTTCACCTGTGTGTGAGAACATGAGAAGAGGGTCAGGGGACAACAGCCGCGGGGGGTGGGGCTCAATCACGTCCAGTCTCCGGCAGGCGTCCCTGAATGTTCACTGCAACGACACCCCCCCAAGGTACTACCGTATCAACTTTATCTCTCGTTCTCACATTGACCGTACATATATTGCATTCTATAGGTAAGAGAGTGCACGACCGAAACTGTGTGTGTAGAGACAACGGCCACAAGTCTTCGTGATAGGAACATTTCGCACACAAAGAGGAGAGTGGGGTGTAGAGTACATCGGGCAAGTAGAAAAGGTGACAGAGTCGATGGCTAAAAAGGAGGGGCTTGCAAACATGCAGGAAAGTATGTGGCGTGTGTGGTTTTGTCAGCCTGCATCTCTATTTCCGAAAAACTTGAAGCCCAAGCATGTGACGTACCCAGGCCCAAGTCGCGCACGTAGAGTCACGAAAAAATCATGCGCTTGTAATAGAGTCTTCATGGTTTGCGGGCACGATAGCAGAAACAAAAGAAGCTCAGGTGAAAAACCAGCCCCCTTGTTGAAAGCGAAGCTACCCCGGCGGTCTCGCTTTGGACTGCGACACTAAAAAAATGACTTGCCGTTGAAGCTCACACACCACATTCCGAAGGTACAAAACAAACAACAATACAGCAGCAACGACCATAGCAGCAGCACGACCACCACCACGACCACCACCACCAACAACAACGACAGCAGAAGAAACAACAACGACGACAAAATTCAATATCAACATCACCAGTCTATTCAACCACCCACCTCCTGAAGATGTTGCACGGGCGCTGCTAGGTCCGCCTCGAGCCTATCGAGCAGCTGGTTGATCCTAACGGTGGTGTCATGCACGCTCAACTCGCCCGCAGGAGACGCTGTGAGTGCGACCAACTGACACGGTCGGCAGAGGCATGTAGGCGGGGCCGGGTCGGCGTGTGGTCTTCAGCTACTAAGTCTTCCGAGGCAATGAGATCATTCGACTTGATTTTGAAAGCTAGTTCCCGGTTGAACCGACCGGCATGGGGAAGTGGGCTTGCCCAGGTTTCTTGCTTCATAACCGGCCACGTTCTCCGACGGAAGCGACACACGTTTGCTGTTTCTAGCATTTTTTCAGCCACATCTCCTACACTACTCGTACACGTCTTTGAGGAATTTTCAACAAAAGTACACATTCCCTCATGAGGCTCTCCTCGTCCCCCCCATACAAAAATATCCTCACAAGCAACGTTGTGTTATTCTGACAGCTGTGTACTGGGACAGACAGTACCGACAGGCAGAGGATCACACATACAGCAAGGTAGATATGAACAAGAAGACCCCCAAGAGAGCGATAGCAGTGTCGCACGTCTTACGACGCTAGAATACTTTTCACTCACTCCCATACGCTGAAAACAAGCCTCGAGTGTGGGTCGGCTGTAAACAAGCCTGGAGTATGGGTCGACTGCAAACAAGCCTTGACTGAGTGTTGGTCGGCTGTAAACAAGCCTGGAGTATGGGTCGACTGCAAACAAGCCTTGACTGAGTGTTGGTCGGCTGTCAACAAGCCTTGAGTGTGGGGTCGCTTGCAGGGGTCTTCACAGTAGCTAGACATCGCCAGGGGGGTGGGCTACAGTACACACCACAGTACATGTGCACCTTCGGGAACTCCTTGGCACGGTCGGGCGTCGCCTGCACTGACGGGAAGGCCTTCATGGTCAGGAACGACCTGGCCACCCTGTTGAAAGGGTGCTCCTTGCCGCAGTGGTGTGCCTCGTCTAGCACCACGCAGCAGATCGCGTCCGGGTCGATATAGCGCTGCAATACCGACAAATCGGTCGTGAGCATAAGAGGAATGAGAGGAGAGTGATGACCATAGCAACAGCAGTGTCGTCATCTAACACGGACAAACAAAGGGGAAACATGCGCACCCATGACAAAACAAAACACGATTCACAAGTGCCGCACCTAAATGTACGAGCCTATCGTTCTCGACAGAGGTGCCCACCAAAGCTGGAAGTGGGAAGGAAAAAAACACCCACGAATGGAGAGAAAAACAAAAGAAGGGGTGACGTTCAAGGAGCAAGATCAACGGGAAAAGACGGAGTAGCGAGAAGCGGGAAAAAACAGGACAAAAAAAGGAAATCAACACACAGCGAGTAAGTCAAAAACACCTCAAGCAAACCATTTAGAATTTAAAGGGTTCACCTTGCACATGCAGTGCTCGAACGCTCCGGCGGTAGCCACTACGATGTTAGCGTCGCGGACGCACTCTAGCTTGACCAGCCCATGGTCGATCTTGCCTCGTTTCCCGCCGAAAGCCTGCAACGACGAGCCCACGAGCATCTCGATCTTCTTCACCGTCCCTCCTAGCTCGTTTTGCAGTCGGGTCGTCTGAAAGAAAACGGCGTGCAGGGAAGGAAGAGGTTAAGAACCATGAGAGTAGTGCCTGATGTGCGGTTAATGTTTTGTGCTGATGGTGTTGTGGACGGGGAGAGGTGTGTGTATTATCCCCGAGTTCCACTCTTCTCTCGCCCCCTTGGTCAAGCGTGGGGGGGGGGAAGACTGATATCAGACGAGGAACAAGCCGACCACAAGCATTAGCGCCCCGGCGCGAGGCCGGTGCTGGTGGGCCTCGGTGGAGTATAACTCGATCTTACGAAGGACCATCCACCCAAGGGAGCCAACCGCACCGAGTGATAGCACGTCACGCTTCTGCAGCGGGGGTAACCCACCTACCTATACCCACGGCGTTCTCGCGCGGGATCACATACCGCTACGCAGCCCCGCAGTACACGCGTAAAACTACAACAAAACGGACACAAACAAAAGGGCACAGCGAGACCCAAACCTGTTGCATTGCCAGGGCGGTGGTCTCCACCAAGAAGTACGCCTGCCTCTCCGGGTTCCAGTCCAGCATCTGCTTGAGAACCATCGCCGCCACCAGCGTCTTTCCCAGGCCTGTCGGCAGGTAGACCAACGAGTTGCGCTCGCACTCCATCACGGCGTCGAACAGCTCCTCCTGGTACCCGCGAGGGGTGCTTCTCGTCAGGTCCATGCCACCGCCGCCGTGGCCAGGATCGTTGCTCCCCCCCGCGAGACTCTTCCTCAACGTCGGCCACTGGCGAGGCGTGAACTGCCTTTCCTCCTCTTCCTTGCCTGCGGGGAGGAGCTTAACCTTGCGGAGGCTGCTCTCGCGGACGTTCTTCCAGCTCTTGGGGTGCTGGTGGTCGACGAGGAGGGCCTTCTGCTGGAAGAAGATGAGCTGGTTGTCCGACAGGGGAGGGTAGCACTTGACCCCTCCGACCTGCCACCCCACAGTGAGCACGCACGCAGAGGCGACCAGCGAGAGACTTTGGAGGACCCACATACCGTATATGACACAAGATAACACACCCCCTTGACCGATTTTCAAAGCTCGATTTCTCAACAGCAGACTCACAGCGCCGAAAACGGCGGCGTTGGAACCGCCTTGTTAGGAGCTTTTCGAACATGTATCATTTCGTTTATGTATCCTCTTCGTCATCGAGTAATCGAGCTTTAAAAATCGGGCCAGGGGGTGTGTTATCTTGTGTCATATACGGTACACACAAGAGAGACAAGAAGCCGTGACTGACGTCTCGAAGGGGTGTCGACAGGAGGAATTGCTGCGTACCACGTTATAGAAGACACTTGAGCACTGGCAAAGGAGGTGTAATCTCTCGCTCATGCTCGGGTACATACGACGCCACACGCGAATGAAGTGTTGGCGCAACCAAGGTGTGCTGCTATTGCCTGCAACAGCAGTGACGTCTCTCCAGAACTTGCTACCTCACCGGTACAACTACGCATTAGCCGTTTTTTCAGCGTTGACAATCTACAGCAGTACGTACACTCGTTCCACAGCCTCGCTCCATCAATAGCTACACAAACAATAGCTGCACGGGAACACAAAATTTCATCATGATTTATTTACCGTATGAACACGAGACAAATACTACAGCAGTAATAGTGACATGCGATATCAGCGCGACGACGCACCTTCTTGTTGCATTGCTGGCCATTGTCCGGGCGCCTGTTCGCGCAGAGGACGTACGCCACCGATCTGTAGGGGTTGTTTTCGTTGGGCTGCTTGTTGGCCGGCACCTCCTTGATCCCGAACCCGATACCCTCACGGCCCTCCTTGCTGGCCCCCATCACCAGGTGAACGGACGTCCCATCGACGCAGAAGGATAGGTTTTCCCCAGCCCTGTTGTCGCATATGTTGCCCTTGCACTGGTACGCCGTTGCAGTGAGGGGACATTGGCATCAGCAGGTGGATGCACTGCAACGCTTCATGATGTATATAGCGGGTGGGGAGGTTGGGCACGACTGCTGACTGCAACCGGTAGGTTGGTTGCGGTGCATGCAAAAAGAGAGCCAGGAGAATTGGGTACTGCTACAACTCGTGGAGATGCAGTGCTGCCATGTTGGTGTGGCGAAGACGGCGAGAGAGCTTGGACGTACCTACCACTCAATGCAGAGGTGGCTTCCATTGCCGTCACCGCTACTGCAGGCACACACACCGCCGCCAGCGGACAGACACACTTGCTTACCACACTGGGCTCTAGTCTACACAGACTTGCTGTTGTACATGCAACCGTCTTTGGGCCCAGGCGCCCCCCCAACATGTGTTGGTTGGATTTGGTGACGGGATGCACGGATGCGACGGGGCGAACTGGATCGCCAACGAACAGGCAGATAGCTTCCCTCTCACCTCGGAGCACTGCAAGCTCATTGCTGGGAGCCCCTGCAGCCCCCCGCTGCCCCAAGGAACCAACTCGCCGGCCGCTTCCTCCGCTGGTTCCGGGACGCCTAGGATCCTCGGCCTTTTTATAGCGCTTCTCTCGATGTCCTCCGGCTGGTGTATGAGTTTATTCTTGGCTGAGAACATGCACAAGCCTCCCAGAGCCTAGGACACGCTTAAATCGATATCTACCTAGCCGACCTCGTCCGCGGGGTGCTGCTGTGGGCTGCTGCTGCGGCTGGTGCGGTAACACAACAACAAGGAGAGCTGGCTTTAGGGGTCTCCGCAGAGTGGAACCAAGACAAGGTACCCAGCCCGGTGCCGCCGCACTGTCAGCGATCACCACAGCAGCAGGCAGCTAGCTCTCCCTGCTGGCTGTGCGCTCGCGTGTGGCTCCCCATTAACTGGCAAGCCGCCAGTTATACTAGCTGAACCATCATGGCGAGACCATCCTTGCTTATAGTGCTTCTCGCTGTTTCTTGCCACCGTACGTCCGGCTTCGCCCTCCGCGGGCCGGTCCATGCCCGTCGCTGTCTGACAAGCGCACCGTTTGCTAGACGGTAAGTAAAGTGTGCCGCATCTCCTCAAGAGCTGTGCCACTGCCCTGCAGAGCTTGAAGGGTAGAGAATGGAGTCTGTGAAAGGGGGGGGATTTGCGCGTGTTGTGCTTTTGGTTGCACGATGGTCGGTCTGTCGAACTGGGCGTGCATGTATCATGTGTCCGCCGGAGCGATGGACACTCATGCTGTTGTAGCGGTAAGACTTTGCCACTGCTACTGTATCCAATCAATACGGGAGGTTCTGGTTGTTGCCAATGTCGCTACAGCAGTATATACTGTAGGTCTCCATCGCTCATGTCCGTGATGTACGTAGGGAGTAGACGGCTGACAGTAGCCTGCACGAAACATGATAGCACCACTGGAAATGATGACGTATAAAAAGTGCTGCCAATTTGAATTTCAGAACTCCGCCCGCTACATCGGCCCGCTGGCCCGGTGCATACATCGTTCGCAAGGCGGAGTCAAAAGGGAAAACGGGAAAACTGGAAATTTGTAGGGTGTAGCACTATTCTGGAGATGTCCCCGGACCCGGGGGTGGGAATACACACACGTATTCTTCTGGTGGAATCCTGCATTCGCATTCCGTTTCACTCGGTTAACTCTTCCCGCTTCCTTCCGTTGCTGTTCGCTTATACCATATTGGCGTTGGCTGGAACAGGACGCTCTGTGCAACGCCCAGACCACGGGCTGCACCGACCTCGACGAGACGCCTGATTGCCAAACACCGCTTGTCATCGGTGCCCGTCGAGCTATCGGCAGCTGAGGCGACGGACGTGGTAAGAGAGGCAGGCATGATGTTTCGTGGGATCACAAGGCCGGTTTTCGTCTTCAACATGAGCTGAATGAATGTACACCGCGTTGTTGGTCACGGGGCGCGATTTTGGTGTGCTGCTGCTGATTTTGGTCCCGATGAACGAGCTGTTCTTTGCCAATCGACTACAACACACACGTTCAAGCCCGAGAACTTCGCTGCACATAGCATAGCATACGGGACACGACCGCACGCCTCTATGATCTTTGTGGAAGGCTAAGGCTAATTGATGATTGCAATACGCCTAAGCGTGAATTTTACCCAACCCGTGTACAATGTTGTGCAAACGATGAACGAATACATTTGCCTCCCCCCCAGGGAACACCCACCCCCGCACGCATTCCACACCCGGAGAATCTATTCAGCTACATACTCCGGAGTAGCTCATTAGATGCTGCATAGCTAATCAGATGACCGCATAGAGCAGACACGGCGTGGTCTTACTTGATATGCTTGCACAGCATGAGACAAGACCTAAACACATTTCTCTCCACTCCCCCCCCCACCCCATGCCCCGGCCTTGGCTGACACAATGGTGGAAATATCCTCCCGCGCGGCCGTCGCCCCCCAGCAGCCCCAGGCCCCGACTCCTGCCACGGCTTCCAGCAGCAGTGGCCCATCCCTGTTGGCCACTGGCACATCCTTCACGGCGATCGTGGTCGCTGATTTCGTCCTCAGGAGGGCGTTTGTCCGGGCGGGGATAGCATTTCCGCCCAGCCTCGCGGGCATGGTCGTGTTGTTCGCAGGTAACGGGGGGGGGCAGAGGAGAGAAGGGGAGGAAGAAAGGAGATGGGAGCACGGCGGGAGCGACGCCGTTTGGATGGGATTGCTTGCGGGGGGGGGGAGGGTTGTGGTCGCCGCGGCAGACTAACCCAGCAACGGGTCAAAGTCGACAAACACCGAACGTGCTCCTGACCCCGCGTTATTGTCGTCGTCGCAACTCAGGATTGGTCGTCTTGGAGCGCGCTGCCCCCAAGTCGGCCGAAGATATCGTTAGCTCGCTGGAGCCAGGAGCGGCGCTCTTGGCCAGGTGGGAGTCGTTGGGTCAGTTGTGAAGAGTCGTTGCATCGTGCAGCATTTGCAATGGGTGCCGTTAGATGTGCCTTCCAGCGAACCAGAACCCCACTACAGCGCTCCATCCAGAACATTCTAGACGAAACACAGTGTTTTGGCGGCTTTCACCCCCGAGTTGCTGGGTTCTTTGACAGCCTGTGTGATTCTGCGCTTCATGGCTCACCCGACTGGTGCGCCCTCTAAATTCTTCCGGCTGCCTCTCCGTACGCCCCCACGCATCGCCAGATGGCTGCCTGTGTTTTTCGCCCCCAGCTTGGTGGTCCTCCCGCTGTCGCCGCCCCCTTCCTCCGTAAACGCCCTCAAGCTCCTGCTGCTGGTCTGCGGCGGCTGGTTCGTGAGCCTGTCGTCCACCGCGGCCGTAGTCGGCGCCCTTTCACCCCCGGCCGATGCCTCAACCACTGATTCTGCGGCGCCCCCGAAGACGTTGGCACCGGTTTTCCGGGGTCCGTTTGTCAGGGGCCTAGGCGCCGGCGCGGTGGTGTCGGGGGTACTGGCGGTGGCCGGCGGGTCCGGGCAGGCGCCGGGCGCGCTGCTTACGAAGCTCTCCAAGCCCGCCGCCCAGCTGTCGCTGCTGTTGGCGACTCTCTTCGGCTTTTCGGCGGGCACCCGCATGCCCAGGCGGGTCTCCAAAGCGGTGCACCCGGTCGTGATGTGCTCGGCGGTCGCGATGGGGACCGCGGCGGCTATCGGGAAGGGGGTCGGGCTGGGCTTTGCCGACATGCTGAGGAGCTACCTTACTAGGTCCAGGTTAGTCGAAGGTGGGATCTGGCACGATGGAAGAGCTGGCAGACATCTTGCGGCTCGCCCTCCGTCAGGTTGTATTTTGTGGTCTGTGGCCGTTGTGACGTTTCACGCGCCGCTCCGCGACAGGGGGAGCCATGGATTGGATTCCTCCCTCGACACAGCTGAGTTTAAGACCACGCAATTGATTGGGAACCCCCCCTCCCCCCCTCCTTAACATGAAAAACTGCTCTTTGCTACCCTGTTCCCCACGACTGCGTACCGACGATGCTTCGTGGTGTGCACGGTGTACCGTATTGTGCGGCAGATGTCCCGTTCACCTTGGCGCGGGTGATGTTCTGCTGGGTCTGTTGGGGCCGTCGGTGCTGTCTTTTGCAGTGCAGATGTACAGGTGAGTTGAAAACCGATTGACAGTCACAACCCATATTTCGTCTCTCAAGGTCGGCGAAGTTTCGAGGTCCGCTCGCCTATTAAGAAGGCTCGTTGACCGAAGCTGGCCTCGTGCTGCTGCTGTGTAAATGAAGAAATAGGGTATGGGATTATGGGGGGGATCCACCAGCAAGTCTGTGTAGGTACGCACTTCGCGGTCCGGAAGACACACAGCCGGTCGTTGTCCATGGCATAATGCAGTATTTGCTTGCGTGCAGTCAGTATCACGTCGAGTCTTCGGGTTACTCTGCGGCAAAGCAGACCTCGAGCCAAGGAAGTTCCCTAACCCTTCGACTTTGCTTGAACGATCATTCTCTCTCTCTCTCTCTCTGTGGCATGATTTAGCACCATACCCACAACCTCATGTCCTTCCCTACCATGTTTGATTCCGCGTGCGCAGGCGGCGAAATTTGATTTTTGAGGACGCCAAACAGGTGGCGGCCGGGTCAGTGTTTTGTGCTTCGTCAGGGCTCTTCGGGACGGCCCTTGTGTCCAGGTACAGTAGTACTGTACGGGTGTAGGCGCTGCAGGGGCAGACACAGACGGGGTTCAAGTACCCCTCCCTCACTGCTGCTGTGTTAAGGTCATACGGTGTTGAGGAAATCAAGCCCTGTAAACGAATCCCGTTTTGCTTGGAACCCGACATGGCCGCATTCATCAAGCAGTTTGAGCCCTCTTACAGCCGTCCACATTGGAGTTCGGTGTTGACGTTGTCGTTTTGGTGCTCTGTACCAGGGCGTCAACTTGACTGCCGACCCGTGGGCCGTCACAGGGCAAAAACAGTCTCTAGTACATTTAATGTGGTGGGAGGGGCGGGAGACCAGTGTATGTGTGTGTCTTTAGTAGCGTTCGGGAGCGGATTAGATTCTTCTTTTTCTGGAGGTGGCGTTCGCGGACAGCTAGGTAGGCGCATGTATGTGTCTACCATAGATGCCAAACGGTACGCAAGCTTGTTGAAGATTGATCAGTCGAAACGACGGGGAGGACTACGAGCAGTCTTTTCTTGCCTGGCTACTGACTATACAACGGTGTATCGGTAAACGTTTACATCTTTGTTGTCCGGACGCTGTGCAGGTTGCTAGGTCTTCCCACCACGCTGCGGCTTGCGGCGCTATCGCGCAACATCACCTCGCCGTTGGCCATGGCCATCTGCTCGCTAATTGGCGCGGATCCTTCGTTGGCGATTGCCATCGTAGTCCTCACCGGTGTCATCGGGGCTAACTTCGGCGCGACGGCATTAGATGCCTTGGGGTGAGTGACGGTAACAGATGAGGGAAAGGACCCCTCCATGCGAACGCGCGGCCGGTATTTGCACGTGCGCACAGGGGCTGGACAGGGGTGGCCTTGTCGGAGGAGCACAGACAGACCGCTGCCCACGCTCGAAGTTTGTCCACGGTATACTGTAGAAGCCGAAACCAAACCGTTAGGACAGTTAACGCTGACTAATCCAATGTTTCGGTATCGACTTGTGTAACGGTCGCTCGGTCCCCTGTGGGTGGTCCGCTTCAAACACCTCACCCCGCCCCCCGCCCCCTCCTGTGCGTGTACTCGCACGCAACCAACACGACCGCCGGCGCTGCCGCCGCCGCCGCCGCCGCCGCCGATAGAGTGAAGGACCCTGCTGCGCGAGGGCTGGCTCAGGGAGGAAGCGCGCACGGCCTGGGCACCGCGGCCATGGTGAACGAGCCCACCGCTTTCGCTTTCTCGGCGGTGTCCATGGCCCTCACGGCCACCGCCAGCACGGTCCTCGTGAGCATCCCTTCGGTGCGGACGGCCTTGGTGAGGTTAGCCCTGGGTGCGGCAGCCGGTGTACCGGCAGCCCCGTGAGGCGGTTTGTTGAGCCAGCCCCGTGCTGCTTCGAAAACGGTGGCCTTCGCTGGGAACTTAACCTTGGTTTTAATAGGCGGAGTTGGGGGCTAAGGGTAAGGATAGGGATACGAAGAATCCCTCTCTGCTTCATACACTAGTTTGACTCTGAAATCCTCGCAAAGGCGGTCCTTGGTGCAAGGATGATGAACTACTGTCGGGGCGCGGCGACCTGACACGGGCACAGTCTTTGCCTTTGAGCAAGCTAGGGTACAAGTGTGACGGAAGCTGCTCGAAGGTCTGGCCAAAAAATACGCGAATCTTGTAAATTACGTTAGAGATTTTTCCTTAGACAGGGTGCAGAGTTTGGGGCGCTGGATTGTGTCCACGCGCCAACGCGAGTGACGCGCCGTAGCATGCATATGTAAGCGCCCTTCCTGCAAGTAGGTGGCCGGTACAGGGGAGGAAAAGGAGGGGGGTGGAGCAAAAACGATACCACCTGTAGAGCTGTGGCATATTGCCATCGTCGGCTAGGCGAAAGTTGTTTTAGACCGAGCGGTCCCGGTAACGTGGCGTTCTTGTAGTTTTGACTCCACGCTCATCGGCAGCTTCAGTTTAAATCTTAGAACAGGGCCCTAGTCCTTTCATCATCAATGACCGGCGAGGAGTTAGCTTCTCTTGCGGTTCATCTGCTTTTCCGGCGCTTGCGGGAAGAGTGCACTACAGCTGTAAATCTGCGTTGGGAGGTTATGCGGGACACGGAAGGCGGAGCTCGGACAGCACGAGGATAAGCGCTTGATTGGGTGACAGCCTCTGCAGTGCAGTTCCGCAGTCCCAATTTCTCGCAAGGGTTTTTTACAGTTGTAGATGATACGAGGAGCAACAAATTGTCTTCATCCGTAGAACATACCCTAGGTTTGAAACCTTCTCTTTTCGGACCTGAAGCCAAGAGGACTACAAGTAAATAGACTCCAAGGTTTGACCGAATAGTTTAACGTTTGTCAGGGACACATCTGGCCAAGCAGCTGACGACAGCAGTGACGCTCATCCCCCCCATCACAGGAAGAGACAGCCAAAAAAAACATCCTCGACACAGACACAGAGAGAGAGAGAGCACAAGAAAACAACCAAAGAGCCAGAATCGGGACGCTACATCATCCGACGACTCCAGCGAATGCCGTGCAGACACGGACTTGATCTACCCGAACAACAATACGTTTCAAAACCAGCCTCTTCCTTGATGAGGTACATGCAATTAGTCCTCTTATGCCACCCCTGGCCAACAATGATCGACAAGACGAAAATACAAAACCCAAACAAGACCGGGGTCGTTTGGGTCAGACGCTTGGCGTGTTCGATACAAACGAACAAACACGCACACACACATAAAATATTATTTCCCCGCTTATACGGACTTGCCTCTTCCTGCGATTCGTTTTCAGTCGCTCCGCGCGGTCGATGGCAATCAAACAACTACACAAAAAAACACAGCACCACGCGCGATGTTTCTTCCCCTATATTCCACATATGTACCACAGCTGACGTCCAATGACTAAATAGCCAATCGATTGGGCTAGCGCGGTAATTAAATCAAAAGTTTACATCACACACACTTTTGTAGGACACGCATCTCCGAAACACATTCACCCACCCACATCCATCTACATCTACATCTACACAGGTGCCCGCAACATATTATCACCGACCACAAATTCTCGACGACGACAACCCCCCACTACTACTGCAGTCGCCCCCTCCGACCGATTCAATCAACACCCGGGTTACTCCTGATCGCTCTCGATGTACTCGTACGAGTTGCAAGAATCAAGCACGGAGCCCCCGGACTCCAACCCCCCCGACGATATGGGAGAAGGTCTCCCCGACGCCCCCGACTCTGGCGCCGAGCCAGAGCCGGACCCGTGCGTCAGCCTCAATATCGGAGAGGCGGCAAATGCCCGGGGGGGGTGCCCGCCCTTCCCCGCGGGGACGCTGGCGCCCGATCCCCTCCGCATGCTGTTGCCGAGCCGTTTGTGGGGCTCAAGTTCCGCTTCCGCGGCTTCCAAGAACGCGGCGGCTTGGGGGTGGTTGTGGAGAAGCGCCGTTGCGTGGGCTGTCCGACCGTAGAGGTCGAGGTTGCGCAGTCTGGATTTTATTTCGTCGGTGCCCGTCGGGAGAGAGAAAGAGATGGAGAGCGGGACAGGACAAAACGTTGGGGGTTCGTTTGGGACATCTTGGGAGCCCATAAGCGGCACGAGGAGGGGGGGGGGGGGTTGAAGGATACACCACTGGATGCCACGCAGAGTGAGGTGAAAGGTAGCTGGTGCAACAGAGGCGAGGGCAGAGGCGACACTCTTGACTCGTCACCCGCTTGAGGACGTCACATGGAGAAGTCAAGAGCTAATTTCCCTGACTGACGTAACGTCGAAATAACTCTTGCCCTCTCACTCTTCCGAATGACCCCGTATCGAAGCTGCGAGCAATCATTCGTGAACGGGATATACTCAAAACAAAAAAAAACATTACAAGACCACAATATGTACATCGCCGTGGACCGGGGTGTCTCCAATTCCTCCTCCCAAAAAATGGCGCCGTGTCTCCTTCTCACTTGAATGGCCCTCCGTCCATCATGAGGGTGTTATCTCCCGGCGGCAGCACGTCCTTGCCATCCCCGCCCCTCCCGCCGCCTCCTCCGGCGGTCCCACCCTTGTTGTTATCCTTGCGCATCTCCTCCACCAGAACGCGCAGCACCGGGACGTGCCCGGACATCGCGGCGAGGTGCAACGGCGTCCTTCCATCCCGGTCCCTGGTACGGTACGGGATGTCTGCCCGTACGAGTTCCGAGACCACCTGGGCCGACCCGCTAGCCGCCGCTAGAGCGATTGGCCCCTGCCGAAGCAAACACCCGTCATCGAAGACCAACAAAAAAACGCACGGAAACAGCATAGGTGACAGGCGATACTGTACCAGTGGCGGCGGTGTTGTTTCGAAGGCGGTGGAGGTGGTGTCCAGGTCATTGCGACTGTGGCTGTCGGTGCGCCGTCAGCGGTCCCATGGTTGTCGACATTTCTTCCTCCGAGAGAAGCGCGTGATACATCTTACTACTGTTATAAGGTTCGTGTTTGTGGGTTCAGGCATGGTCAGGCCTCCAGGTGAGCAGCATGACCTACGCCACAGTGCTACCGTTCTACATGGAATTACAGAATATGTATCGCTTCAGGCATGGTCTCGCTGATCGACCACCCAAAGCAAGGCTTACACACGACCGGTTTACGTTGTGTTGAACAGCAGTTATTTCTTTCTACATCACACAAAAAAGGTGGTTGTAGTTCATATCGACAGTACTGCTGTAGTCTATCTAGTGCTGTGGTCTCTATCTCACCATGCCGTCTTCGTTAGTCTTGCACGGAGCGCACGCCATCCGGGCCAGACGGCTCCGACTTAAACCCGCCACACCACTAACAAGCACAGCGCCAAAGGAAAAAACAGCAACAGACGCAGCAGACATAACGACAGCGGGCAGCAGTCACTAGTAGCGGAGAGAGACCAGAGGGCGTGTCCAGCAGAAGGCGTTCAGCGAGAGAGAGGGTGTATGTACCCACGGGACGTCGTTGGCAGCCAGAACTTCGGTACACTGCAGCTCATGGCGGCATGCGTACCGGAGGCAAGCCGCAAACAACTATTATACACGCAACCGTCCTTAGGCCCTGACGCTCCCCCAACATGTGTTGGTTGGATTTGGTGACGGGATGCACGGATGCGACGAGGCTAACTGGATCGCCAACGAACAGGCAGATAGCTTCCCTCTCACCTCAGAGCACTGCACCATATCCCACCATCCCCCCGGTACATGCTTCCCTTCCAAGGCAACCAAAACCAACACGAGTGTAATCGTAATCGTAGAACGGACCATGACACCAGTGAGTTACATGCACGCCTCAACATGTTTTCCGTCTCTCTTCTTCTCTTCTTCTCACCTTCCGGTGCCGCCGGTGGATTTGGCCTTGAGCAGAGCCCTGACGGCCAGGAGGTGTCCCCCCCTAGAGGCGTGAGCGATTGGGGTCATGCCCCTTGCATCAACCAAAGCAGCATTGGCCCCCTCTTCCAGCAGGCATCTCACCATCGACTCGTTCCCTGAAACAGAATCAGCAGCCGCCCCAACACCACAGGCAAAAAAAAAAAGACACGATTCTTTTGCGCTGGTGGTAGACAACCGTCAAGACCACACCTCGGATCACATGTACCAGGTACATGTACGAAAGTAATACCAAACGGTGGGGCCCGTGGTGTAGGGTTGAGAGCGCGCCCAACTCTGAGCGATCGGGTAAAAAAAATCGTCCAACTCACCGTATATAGCCGCCAGCGCCAGCGGGGTAAGGCCGTCACTCCCAAGCGAGTCCACCATGGTATTCGGCGGGGTAGCCAGGCCAAACCTCAGAGCGTTCAATACCCTCGAGGGGATCTCGTTCCTGAGGTCGTCATTCGAAGGCATCACGGGGGGGTGGGGGGTTGAGAACGTCCATGCGGTCACACGCTTTCCTCGTCTAGGATTTCGACCGAGTGGCCTTCATTTTTTTCACTTTTTACAAGTTTCAAGATTGAAGAATGGCATGGTTCGCCCTTTGCCGGAAAAAAAAATCGGTCGGGAAAAGGAAACGCGAAACGACAGTCTTGATCCTAGAGAAACGTTCATTCAATAAGAACGGGTTGCTGTGGTTACGTTTGGGCGACTTCTAGGTTTCCACAGGGAACGAACGGCCTGAGCCCTGAACCTGGGCTTGCACAGCACAGCGCAGCACGGTCTGTGACGGGTGTAACCTTCTCGATTGCGCAAGCAGCATCTTCAACATTCCCTCCTCGCCAGCCTTGACAGCGGTGTGAAGCGGACTGTCCTTCCCCTGCGACACCCGCCCGCGGAAGGGTCAAAGACAAAAAACCACGAGGTCGGCGACAAGGGACAAACACAAAGCAATCACATACATATGCGAGCACGCAAGGGGTTGGTTTTGCAGCATCGAAGACGACAGCATGGAGATTGCAGCCTGGGGCGAAACACAGCCGGCCATGCGTGCCGTTACATCATATTTCCACCCTCTGGGGTAGTCATGACTTAGAAGAAAGCAATATCCAAAAAAAAATAATCGGCAGTCCTCCGCCTCAACACTCGTTTCCTGGGATACACTACACTGCCTCCTTGACGAACCATCCCCAACCAGGCAAGCCGGTGCCGCTCCTAACCAGCGGTGTACTGGTATAAAACCCCGCGCCACTGCCATCATCACTACGCCCTGATCCCCTGCGGCGGCCTACCCACCTCCGGCCCTCCGCCCCGAACGGAATCCCTCGCTATCCCCCGCAAGAGCTCCCTGAGCGCATTCTCCTTCCCGGCTTCGATGCAGTGCTGGATTGGAGTCAGCCCCCGTCGGCAGGGCAGGGACAACACTTGCGACCCGGGGCTCAGCTTCTGCCACAGGCGTGCCAGGGAAGCCACCTGCGTGAGTGTGGTGGGGGGTTAGGGTTCGCCGTGAGTTGGGGGAGGGGGGGGGCGATGAATTGGCATGTTTTCAAGGAGGGGGTGACGCGACTCGGAGCACATCATGGTTTGAAGGGGGGGGTGCCGTGATTTCGTTTGGTGCAGTCGAGGTGGACGGCAGCTACTCAGCACCTTCTCCGAGGCTACAGTTTGCCATTGGTGCGGCCGACAACATCTACTTGAATTGAAGCCTATCCTCTTCGCATGCCGTACCAACAGAGGGACGGACGGTGCGACCACAAGAGCAGTCTTTCGACACTACCACGATCCGAACACATTTGGCAAGGAAATGTAAAGGGCGACTGGGAAACTCTCCTATCTCGAAGATGCCAACAGCACGACGACGATACAGCAGTAGTAGCCCCATCCGACAAGCGCGGAAGCGCCCAATCGGGGTCCTCGTCTGTTGGATACTGCAACATTAGTGCGGGTGGAGCTACTCCACACGCGCGTGCTCCCCATTCTGCTTCACAATGGTTGTTGGACAGACGTAAGCAGCAAATCTCCCGTCTATACTTTTGCCGAGATTAGCTCACCAGCCTGGCGTCTCCGTCTCTGGCAGCCGCGTGCAGAGCCCCCAGACCGTTCATGCCTGCCCCATCCTGAAACCCAGCGACCACAAAGCGAAGAAGCGCACACCAAACAGATATCATGTATCGCGAGGAGCAACAACCGGCAGGCCAAGCGTAAGTGAAACATGTAGAGGCGTTTAGATGTTCAGATCACATGCATCATGTGACGAGGGACACAAGACCTTGACTACGACAAAAACGAGGACAAAGCCTGGACTTGCGCGATGACGTTATACCCCCGCACACGAGGCACCGGGAATTCCGCCTATGCTCTCACGCACCGACGCAAACGTGCTGATCATGGACGCTTGACGTTCCGGCTTAACCCACACGCGCAAACACACCAACTCAAACTGGCAACGACACACAGCAGCCAAAGCATGTCTGGCAAACACAAACTAACTCGTTTCCCGCTTACCGCCAGGCAGTCCCAGAGCGGGATAAACCGTAGGCGCAGGCGCACCGCCGGCCCAAGCCTGCTCCCGCCGGCCCCAGTGCCCTTGCCCTTCCCCCCATTCCCGCCGCCGCCACCGCCCCCGACATGGGTCAACTCTTTCCAGATATCTCTCGCCGAACCGTTCGCGTACCCCTCACCCCAATCGTTGGTGGCGAGCATCTCGACCTCTTCCAGGGTCAACGCTGTCGCGGCCGGTTTGTTCGCCTTCTTTCCTGCCGCCGCCGCCACCGCCTTCCCGGCCAACGACGAGACCCCGCCGCCCCCCTCCCTCGTGCTCCGGTTCCTTCCTGCCAACCCGCCGCTGCTGCCGCCGCCGCCGCCGCTGCGCCAAGACTTGCTTCCGGAGCTGTTGTTGCTCATCTTGTCGGGCCCGCTGCCGCCACCTACCCCACCCCCACCAGCCCCGGGGCTGCCACCGGTGCTAGCAAGCCCGCCGTCGGATGAACGCCGCTGCCTGCTGCCTCGGCGGCGTCGCCGCCAGCTCCCAAACACGCCTCCGCCCGGCAAGCACCCCGCGCTTTCTTCAGGGGTACCGGTGGTAGCACCGGCGGTAGAGCTCGGGCCGGGGACCGCGTCGGCGGCATCAGCACCGGTACCCGCGTCGGCGCTAGCTTCTTGTGCCGAGATAATAGCCCCTTCATCGCCGGTGGCCGAGTGAGAGGGGGCGACGTCGAGCCGCGGCCGGCCAGCGGCATCGGCATCGGCATCGCCCTCATCTAGCACGCTGCTGTTGTCCTCATGCCTCTCTGGAGGCAGTGTTGGAGATTGGTTCTTCTCCTCTTTCGGAAAAAGAACGGCAGCCGCTTGCTTGGGACGTCCGCCCGCGGCTGCCGTGCCTTTGAGGTGGGTTCGTCAATGGTTGTACGTGCAAAGAGGGGGGGAGGGCGGGGAGACTTCAATCAAAAGTCCACATACACAACAGTAGCAGCTAGGTTTTCAGACGCCCACCGCAAAAAGTTGGTGCTTTGTACGCCGTAAAACTGCTGCTTTGCGCCGGACTCCGGGCATGTCGAGTTGTTTGGCATCCTTCGCAGCACGGCGTTTGAAACAAGGGTATCGCCGGGGCAATACTCGATGCATGCCACTCGGTGCTAAGAGGAACCGCAACCGACGAGGCACAACACGAAAAACGTGTCACGTACCGCACCTGGCTGTCATCCCTGGGTGTTCAGCATGTGTAGTCTTAGCCTTCTTTCGTCCGTCTTGTGAGAGTGCACCAAAAAAAGACACCAGCTAGTCTTCAAGACTCACTACTTTGCCGCTCACACTACGCAGGGACAAGAAACGGGTCTCACCCTTCAACCCAGACGAAGAGGAGGCCCTTTCTTGTCTGCAGGACGCCCCTGACCCTCCGCCCCTTCCGACCAAGGCCTCCGCAAGCCTAGCCTCACACACGCCGAGCACGGTACCACTTCCCGCGCCGCCGCCGCCGCCGCCGCTTCCTCCGGATACCAACTCTACGACGATACGGGTCGGGCCGTAGAACTCGCGCACCTCGAACAGCAGCCCGCGCGCAACGCCGCCGCCGCTGCCGCCGCCGCCGCCGCCACTGCTGTTACTGCTGCTGCTGCTGCTGCTGCTGCTGCTGCTGCCGCCACCATGGCCCGGGTTGCCGGATTCATAACCCTCTCCGCCGTCGCCGCTACCATCGCCTGCACCACCACCGTAACGATCCCTCGCCAGACCGAGCGGGCCGTTCACTGCCTCCCTCTCTGGGGTGTGTGCGGTGCCGTTGCTGAAGGCGCGCCCAAACAAGCGGGCGCTGTGGTTAACGCTGCTGCTGCTGCTGCTGCCTCTGCCGCCGCCATTGCGCGCGACGCTGGTGCCCCCCCTAGCGCGGGAGGTCGACGATGACGCGTTCATGTCGCCGAGGTTGAGCGGCTGCGCCGGGAACCACACCGGATGATGGCTCCGCTGGGCCGGCTGCCCGGATTTTGTTGTGCCATCCACGGTGACGCGTGCCACGAGTGCGGGTTTTCGACGGGCGCTAAATATTTGTAATGCGTTGTCGGGGGTACCAGAACGGGGAAGGAAGGCAAAGGGGATAGACGGAGATGCAGAAAGAGCAGGGGTAAGGAGGATTGACACATGGGTAGTCGCCTGTACAAGTGGGGGATCGAACCTGTTCGTTGAAAATTGCTGTGCCGAGCACCACAAAGGTGCGTTACTTTCGAATACTACAGATGTGTGACTCCGAATACTGTACTACAAGGGCGAAGGAAACGCCGAGTAAACGTGGCCATGCTGCACAACACAGGTGGACCCTCGCGCGTTAGCGGCGGGGGGAGTGGGGCCCTTCTGCTGCCTCGGACACAGCAGTCGTAACTCACGTTCGAGACAGGGTGGACGTTGCCACAAGAAGGTCGACCCCGGTAGCCTGCACCACCGTTACCTCCAACACGCCGGCCTTGACCACCTCGCTCATCGTCAGCCTCTTACCCCTCAAGTGTGTGTGGGAGTGGGAGTCACCCGACTGGATGGAAAAAAGCGGCGCCCGGTCGACCGCTTCCTGTGTAGACGAGGAGGACGATACACACAGCAGCAGGAGCAGGAGCAGCAGCAGCAGCAGCAGTGTTGGTGTTGTGACATCCCCGCCAAAACGTTGGGAGGCGAGGGCACTTTTTTCTACGAAGAAGATGGAGAGAATGCAGTCTGCTCAGTGGTCAGTCGGTTACCGTGGCCCATGCTATATAGATGCGGGCACAGACGATACAACCACAAAATTGGGCAGCAGAGATCAGACGCATTCTCGACAGGTAAAACGTGTTCCACTCCACGTGACTCCCCCCTGGACCGACAAACTTGCCCCCCCAACTCTTGTCCACACGCGACAGAGGAAACATGCCCATTACTTCTCGCGCGAAGGAATTCCACCGCTACTGCTGCGTTGCAACGCGCCCATCAAGCCACGCCTCCGTGAAACTTCTGTAGCGGCTGCAGGAAACAACGTTGTCTGGCTAGATTGTTGAAAATGGGTTAACGAGGAGAGTCATGACCCCCCAGTTGGAACCGCATGTCACCGGCCACTGTACCACTGCTGCTGTACAACCCCGGGCACCCACCCAACACACCTATCTATGGTGGCCTTCATGCGCGAGGTACTGCTGTACCGCTGAGGCGCCACTCGGAGACAACCGTATCCAATGGCACAAACCAATCCGTCGAACAAATAAGGACTATTGCGGATACAAATGCGTACCATCGCCATGGTCGCCATATTTTCGAGTAGGGCGGTACCGGTACATGCGATTTGCGTTAGCTGTGAAGCGTTTAGTCGAGCACAGAACTGCGGTACAGTTGTAGAATACCATCTTACTACACTGTTGGTGGGCTGGCTGGCTACCGTGGGGATGATACAATCTTCATTGTGCCAAGAAAACACACAGCAGTCATGCGCGGTTTAGCTATTTGTACACAGGTGATGCGAGAGAGAAAGAAATCCCGGCCATGCAATTGCAATCAATCGCCCTGCTGTTGGTAGAATACCATAGTGTGCATAGGTCGGTTCAATCATGTGTTGAAGACAAGTGCAAAGTAGTAGGTTGAAAGGCGCCGAAAACGACGTGATGCAGTAATCCTATCCTATCTCTGATTCTCTCTACATTCGCACGGCAAACTTCTTTCGTCTAGACGCCCAGTACATACGTCGGGATGGGTAACAGTTCTGGTAATGTCTCCAAACTTTCCATTCCCGCTACCCAGACATCACATCCCGCCTTATGACGAGGATTGGACGATTGCACGTCGCACAGCAGTACACGGAGGGATGCACAACGGAGCTGCAGGGGGGAGCTGTGCGAGCAACTACCATTTTTCACTAGCGCAGACTATGCTAATCATTGACTCTAAACCGTCGCTCGTTTGTACCTGCGGTACGTTCTGTTTTGTTCCTCTTCTACAATCCTGGACCGGACCAAGAACGAACGCCTGTATGCTGTGGTACTGCTGTACTGCTGTTGTATACATACATACACCGTAAATGCCGAAGGGGGGTTGGTTCAACAGGGCAGACCCTGTGCGCCTTCCCGTAAAGTTGTTGTAATACGTCCCCTTTTCGGTGGCCTAGGCCGACAATGACCTTGCGCGTTTGCATACGTACGCGGTGAATACGCGCTGTGGATGTGCGTTGGTCTGATTAAAACTGGTGTTGGGTTGGACGCTGCTGCTGCTGCTGCCGTGTCGGTCAAAGTCTGTCCGATCTACTGCTGGCTGCAGCAGTGGTAGACACGCTGTTACTTCGAATGGGACAGGAGTGCTGCCAAAGGAAACGGGTCCGAAAGTAAAGCTCAGCCTTTCACGTAAACTATACCATGTCCAACCCGTGCATTGCTTGTGCCATAACGTAACCATAGAGGCGATATCCCTACGTAGTTTCGTATCACGCACGGGCACGTGTAACACGATCGCGACAGAGTTTTCCTCACTTGTGTGTCTCGTGTTCCCGATCCTCTCTCTAAGGCGCGATGCTCCCTCCGCTTCACACTACTCTCGGCGAGGAGAAAGCCAGTTCGGTCTGTTCTCGCCGCTCTGCCCTTCTTGCTCTACCCCTAGTGTGATGATCCAAGAGGTGCCGCACACCCTCGAGAGCCTGGCACGATGAGGACACCAGGATTCGTGGCAAGGAAACAAACCCACCAACAACGCCCCGGAGACACCCCGTTTGCTTGCTCCCAAGGGGGGGGCCCACAGATAATATTGATACCCCCCAAAACATACCCCCCCCACAGAAGCAGTTACACGTTTTTTTCAGAAAAAAACGGACAAAAAAACGGACAACGGACATCCGCGCTCCTTACTGTATGCATACGCGCATATGCACATATCAGAAGACAACACACGCGCTGTCCTGCTGGAAAGAAGGCCTTGGGAGATGAGAGCTACATCATATTGTCGAAGGTAAACCGACGAGAGCCGCAGCACGTCAATCAACACGGTGAAGACAACGATGTCGAGGTAGGGAGTTGACAGTCTGGTGCGGCCAAGGCCATGCAACGATCCGGGAGGGGGAGGGGGACACCAGCAAACGTCGGCGGGGAACATGCGGGTGAAGCCTCTGCCGGGCCATTACCGCCCTCAGGTGCAAACACGTCGCGAAAACAAGGCGTACGTACGGGGTACACACGTCGTTGTCTTCGGGCACCTTCATCACACGACGTTGCTCGCCGCTTTCAAGATCTTTTTCAGGTCGAAAAGGCAAGTACGACCCTCGTCGATATGCAATCTTGGTAGGCAGAAGAACGAAGGAGGAGGAGGAGGAG